TATACAACAGACATAAATAACTTAAATTATCCTAAAGTTAAACATAGACCCAACTCTTTTTTTAACGCAATTTTGATGTAACACTGTTCACCCATATACTTTTTTAACACGCTTTTATGTAACGGAATCTTTGAACTCGGTTTTTACTCACTTTAAAAGGTCAGTTTAATTCGAAACTGCACACACTTGTCAAGGACCGATGACAAAGTTCTGGGGAATTTTCCTTACAAAATGAGTCGCGTGGACGCTCCAAAAAAGTGTGAAACATGAGGTTCTGAAAGTCTTAATAGATACGAATCTAACTGTACTGCAGGTATATTGAAGAAATGCATAAAAAATTGTAAAAATTATATGGCCATCACTTGTTAATCTGCATGGCCCAATACTTCAACTCGACAACATTTGCCCACATATATTGCACAAAACAATTGCGAAATTAAATGGATTAAAATATGAAATATTTTTTTGCAGCACCCAGATTATTCATCAGATCTTTTACACCAATCGACTTTAGTTTTTCTAAAACATTTAGAACATTTTAAAAGGGTTAAACCAACGTTTCTCAAACTGTGGGGTCCAACCCCCTGGGGGAGGGACGTTATAACTCTACGAAGGGGGTGAAAGCATATTGAACATACGAAAACAAAAGATATTATTTTAAAAAATTATTTATTTTTTGGAAAAAAACATACAAAATGCATTCTGACATAATAAAAAATAAAATTAATATTTACACTGATATTAAACACTTATAAATGTATCAGTACTGCAGAATGAATTTCATAATTGATTTAACAATACAAAGTTAATAAGGAATTTAATAACTACCAGAGACCCCATGGGCTTGTCAAATATAAAAAATTAAACACAAACACTAACACTTACCTCTATAATTTGTATGGTTTATATAAATAATCCCTTAACTGGCGATTTAAAGTAACGCGATTAGCTCCTCAATGCTACTGTTTTCAATGTAGGCTCGTGTACGAGCTGCATTGGAGGGAGAGGAGGGGGGGGGGGGGATTAATTAAGGAAATCCCCTAAAATAAGTAAATCCTTCGCAAACACTGTCAAGGTCCTTTTATTGCATTCCAAAATCTTCGGAATAATTTTATGGATAGCAGTGGACAGAAAAGATCGTACTTCGGAAAGACGCATATATATGTCCGGGGCATTTAACGCACCGGTTGAGCAAAGACGTGTACATACGCCGGTGGCACTAAATAGGTTAATATCGTGTTGTAGCTTTAGCGTCAAAGTATTGTATTATTACATTCAATGCATTGTTATTTGTATGGAAGGGGTGGCAATTAAAATTATGATTGAATATTGGGTCACAAATATTGATAATTTGAGAAGCACTGGGTTCTAACATTTTATACACACCCATGATCATGCTTAATGCTCTTCGGAGTCGGAAGGCATGAAACAGCAGGTTGCAGCATAAAAAAAAACTGAAGACAGTTTGAAAATTTCCATTTCAAAGTTTATTAATTCGGTACATTCAAATGTTTTTGTGAAATGCTTATCGAAGCAAATGGAGCATATTTTGATTAAATAAACAGTTTTTGAAAAAAAGGTATGCAGTTTTATACATTCACTTAAAAATCCGATACTTCACACACACCAACCATGTTATAAAATGTATTAAAGTATCCAAAACTAAATCACTGAAAATGTCACAAATTGATTTAGAAAAGTATTATCATTGATCTGGCAGCCGTGTATAAAAGAATTATTAGTTAAAGAATCAAATAATCTTGCTATAAATTGACGAATTTATAGGGTTATCAGGAATGAATGACCCGATTACAAAATTTAATAATTCCTAGATGAGTAAACAGAAAATGATCATTAATATGTCATTGTAAAGATAAAATATGAAATTTTGAGTTTGTAACATCGCTTTTGTCAAATAAGTGGCAGTAATGTTGTAATTGTGAACAGAAGTGGAAATAGCGTTGCAGCGGGGAAAACATTTTGTGTGCTTTCGCGTTAACAAAAAGTATGTCAGTAATAACGGTTCAGCGTGAATTTCAGAGAAAGTACCATATAAATGCACCGATATCTAAGAGCATACGAAGATGGTACAAATAGTTCCAGGAAACTGGACTGTAAAGCAAAAGTCCAGGGTGGTCAGGTTCACATTGATATTATACGAGTGGGTAAGGGAAGTCACACTGAACATTTGTGAAAACAAATTTTACTTTGCGTCAAGAAACGCTACGTACGAAAACAATTTCATATTGTATCTTTACAATGACGTCTTAATTATCCTTTTCTGTTTATCCAACTGGGAATTATTAAATTTTTTAATTAGGTCATTCATTTCTGATAACACAGTACTATTATTTTATTACTATTACTTTAAATACTATTCTCATTCTTTTCTTCTATCTTTTCTTTCGTTAACATAAACTTACACTTCATCAAGAATTTGCAACGTACAAGTTACATAAACGTGACATTCTACTGAATTATAATTAACAAAGATTATTTACTTGTTTGAACATGTGTTACAACTAGTTCATCGACACCATTCTACGAATCCGTTCTTCATAAATATAATTTAAACATAAGCAATTTATATGCTAATTCAGAATCGTCCACATTCAAGGAATAAGTACCCAGACATAAATATTTGCATGTTTTCCTGGAAATAACACCTTTATGAAAGAAATTACACCTGTCATAACCCTTCAAGCAATTAAAACTCTTTAACACCTGTTTGTTGTCCCAATACACCTTGAACAAGCTGTCCAATCTCTTCATGTGTTAAGTATGGCATTATTTGACGCATGTCTGACACCAATGAACTTTACTTAGCTTCTGATCAAACTGCTGGCGAGATTATACTTTTCTTCGTTTTGATTGACTTGCTGTAATCATTATTTGACTTTCTGTCACTCTGTGTTTTGTATTCGTTATGGAGATTAATAAAATACAGGTGAAATCTCTCTCTCTCTCTCTTTGGACTGTTTTCCCAGGTTTAACGTGTTTTGGGAACGGCTTTCGTATTATTTTAATTTCTAGAATTAAAAATTTGTTGGTAAAAGCTTCATGATATTTAATGGAGGGGTTTTGTGTAGATCATAATGTTTGTATAAAACGTGTGTGTGTATCTGGAATTTTTCTTAGTAAATTCGGCATTTTGTGAAACATAAACGTTTCTTTTAGAAAAACTTGTGCAAGTAGATTACACGTTACCGTATCTTAATTTTTTTTTCAATTCCTACTATTAGTTCACACTCTCCCTATATATATATATATATATATCTTGCTCAAATTTTTCAGTAGTTAACAAAATACTTTCTATTCATTCATTCAAGTTCAAATACATTTTTTTAAATTAACAGTGGATGACACTTGATGTTAATATAGTTTTTTGAAATATTAATTCATTAATTAAATTAAGAAATGAATAAATAGTAACAAATAAAAAGAATAGTCCAACAGCATATATAGAAAGGAAAATGGAAAATGGCAAGGGAAATCCCTTTCTATATTGTCTCTTAATATTGTGATTTTTTCTTTTATATTATTTGTTTATATGAAGCTTGCAAAAATAAAAAGGTGACTTCCCATCAATCAAATTCACACACAAAATTTGGTACACTAACATAAAACATGGCTAACAATTTACAAATAAATAAAAATTACATAACCATACGTATAAATTTGTTATTGTTGTAAAAAAAATTAAATAGTGACTGTGAAAACTAACTGTAAAAATAGCTGTTAAGAAAGCCCTTACTTAATAAATACTTCTTCAGAAGTAACTAATTTGGATTACACTAGCATGACATAAAAATTTTTCTTAGTTCTCTTTTTTTTTTATATATATACTATATGGAATAATTATTCATTTAAATTTTCTTTCCAGTGATTTTATTTAATTTATGATAGTCCTGTATCCTCCAAGATATCGTGTTATAATTGATTGCTTTAATTTACCGCCTTGAGGGAAATACTCTTTTATATAGCTCCAACTTTGTTTCCTCAAAAACTACCACATTTACGCATTTCAAAATAAGATGATGCGATATTGCATAAGCCATGGATTCTGACCAATCATGGTAATAACTAACGGATATGATACGATTCTCAAAGTTTCCGGTTGTAAAAGATGTCAAACCTGATCTCTCCGAAATGGAAAAAAGAACGATTTTTTTATGTGTTTGTGTTGCTGTTATTTGCTTTGTCGCTAAATGAGTTAAAATGAAGGGAAAACAAGTAATAATTAAAAAAAAAATAAAGTCAGTTCCTACTTAGATCAACCAAGAAACATTATATTTGTTACATTTATTAAATAATTACACTTTATATAAATGTGGGAATCCAACCGAAATCTTCCAAAAGGTCGGAATCTTCAAATAGCGGGGTTTTTATGGGCGTGGTGTCTAGGGATTTTTAGGGTATATTAGTTAAATTTGAAATAAAATAGACAACATAGTTTAAGAAAGAAACTGGTTGAAAACTAAATAATTTATTATGAATTATAGGGGAATATTTACATGGGGAATATTTCAAAAGAATAGGAAAGTTAGATCACATTACTTTAAGGAAGGCAATTGAGATTAAATAGAACTCATTATGGTGCTATTAAGACTTACTGCCTGGCGCGGGCGAACGGCGCTGATGCGCAAAATACGACGTTTCCCTGACGAGTGTTAGTGGGCCTCTGCTGAAAAAGGTTGATGTCAGCGTTTCAATAGGGACGCTAGATGGCGTTGATGTGGAATATTGTTTTGATTAGAATTGCCGACCTCTGGAAAGAGATATGATCTAACCTTTTACAAATGGGATATCCTACATAAATATGTATGTACATAAGGCAGAATCACAATATTAAGTTTCAAAAGGTAAAGCGATTTTCTATTTTCCTTTCTATGTATGTTGTTAGACTGTTATTTTTGTTTGTTACTATTTATTCATTAATTAAATTTAATTATTCCAGTAAAATAGTATGGTAAAAAGAAATCACATTCCAGAAATTAAGCCATCCCAGGTGGAATTCAAACCCACTACCTTTGGATTAGAAGTCCAACACGCTATCCTTTGCGCTACAGGGAAACAACGAGCGATTTTCCTTTTTATGTATGGTGTTGGACTATTATTTTTGTTTGTTGCTATTTATTCATTTTTAATGCCTCTGCTCTGTCTGGCACGGACTAGGAGAGGGGGAAGGTAAAAAAGAGTGGCAAGAATCCAAAACAGAGCTCTATAAAAATGCTGACTTGTTCATTCCATTATTTCACTAAAACAGTTTGGGTATTAGATCAAATCACTTACATCAGGGAAATGACCTCAAAGAGACATTATTCTATCATATTGCGTGAATTGATCTCATCTCTCTTAGATATTTAATGAAATCCCTAATTCCATCATTTTCCTGCGACATATATAAACCACTGATAAAAAGATCTGGTTTTATGAGATAACTTTATGAGATCTGGTCTTAGAACTCATATCACCTCTTCAAAAATTCAGTTAGTTTAATATTAGGTTGGGGAAAAAGAAATCCATTATTTTTGCTTAAAGTTCAAGACTTTATTTGATGTGTTTCAGATTGTCATATTTCAGCCAAATATGTACCATCTTGTACAATTTGTGGTCCATTTAAAGGTACCTTCATAATGCCTCTCTCATATAACCTTTGGTCCTTATTGGCAAAAAACTCAAGTAATCAATTTTCACAATCTTCTCTTGATCCTAATTTCTTATCACTCAGGAAGTTTTGCAATGTAATCGCTTGGTGCCAGATCAGGACTATATGGTAGATGCATTAAAACTTCCCAACCAAGCTCCCAGAGTTTCTGGCGAGTCACTACAGACGTGTGTGGCCTGACGTTGTCCTGATGGAACACAACACCTCTTCTGTTGGCCCATTCTTGAGGTTACTAGTCAATTAATGGCTTCAAAAGGTCCAGTTGTTGACAGTAGAGATCAGAATTTAATGTTTAGCCATACAGAAGCAACTCATAATAAATGATCCTTTTTCAGTTCACACAGTAGAATCTTCCTGGCCGTTAGTCCTGGTTTAACCACCGTTTGAGCTGCTTCACTGCGCTTTGACCACGATCGTTTTCGCACAATATTGTCGTATGTGACCCATTTCTCATCCCCAGTAACCATCCGTTTAAGAAATGGGTCTTTGCGCAAATGGTTTAATACTGTTTTGTGGGCAATCTTTTGCTCCTGGGTGATACTACAACTACTAACATGCCGGTCAACTTCGATTATTTCTGTGATTTTATTGACATGGTCGACGACCGGCCTGCCTGTGCAAGATGCATCTTTAACATCAAAAATTCCTGAACGGAAGCGACGAAACCAAAATTGCATGTAAGTATCTGTTACAGTTTCGGCACCATAAACACCATTCACAATTTCTCCCGCCTAGCTTGCATTTTAGCCTTCATCTAAGGAAAATTGTAAAATGTACCGAATTTTCTTTTTATTGACTTCCATTTTTAACATCCTGTAACTCACAACTGAATGGAACGAACAAAAATCAGCAAAATAATTTTTTAGTGTGAAATATCACCTTGACAACTACCATAAATTTGAAATTGTTTGATCGATACTTCACAAGATATCAGCACTACAGCCATCTACCAAAAAAATTATGGATTTCTTTTTCCCCAACCTGATATTTTTGAAAAATGTGAGCTTTGAAACTCACAGGTGTTATAGGAACAAATAGTTTTGAATGGTGTAGTATGCTTGAATGCATTATACAGGGAATTGCACTTTTCGGTTACTTCTTTTTCTTTATTTGGAGGGGGTGGGGACTTTCATCCTACTGAATTAATAATCTTTGCAAATGTACAAGCAAAAACTTCGTTATAAGTATTAATACATTTTTATTTTCTTATATTTTCCATTTTTTTACTTTGCGTTCCTCATCACCTTTTTTCATTTATTAAAAATGAAAAGAAATTTATTTAAGTTATCCGCGACTACTTTCGGGACCGGGATTTTAAAAAAAATCGCATAAATGGATAATTTTCATGATATTTAGTGTCATTTAGATTAGAATACATGTATAAAATTGTTTTAAGAACATTATGACAAAAAAATTATTTAAATACAATATTTTGGCAAACAAATTAACTTAGAATAAGCTTTTTTGAAAACGTTTCCCTTTTATAAAATTGCTTCTGTAATAATAATATTTTGCTTATATAAAGTAAAGACTTTTCCAGGAAGTCTGAACTAGGATTTTTTGAAAAACTCACATTATTTTCAGAGTTATCAACAATTAAAATATAATTCACGGCGTTTTTTCCTTAAAAGTTCTCCCCTCAGTTGTAGTAAAATATGGATAAATCCACTTCTAAGTTATATATTTCAAAAATTCTAGTTCAGCTTCTGTGCAGCGGTCTGAGCTTTATACAGGCAAAATATTATTATATATAATAGAAGCATTTTTCATAAAAGGAGAATGTTTTGAAAAGTAGTCACTCTACGTTCATTTTTTGTCAAAATAAACAACTTTTTTATTGTAATAATATTCTTTAATCAATTTTTAAAACGTTTTCTAATCTAAGTGACACTAAATATCATAAATATTATCCATTTATACGCTTTTGCAAAATCATGGTTCCGAACGTAGTCGGATACCTTAAATGTAAAAACGGAACTAATGGTTAATATTAACTAATTATTTATGAGAAAATTCTTTTAATTTTTCCGAGAAAACGGAATCACAAAATAATGGAATAATTTAGAGTTTGTAAATAAAAAGAGCAACAGGTGGTCCTATAACCCCTATTATTTTAATCTATAAAATGGGAAAGTATATAAAAAAAAGTAAGTTATACACCATTACTTTGGAAATTTTATAAGTAATTCTCCCTTAATCCATTGTCTAAGAAATAAAGATTATTAAATACAGATTCTCTTAGTACTTTCTTCTGTTTTGGGTAAGTAAAGTATTCGAAACAAAAATATGATTTTTCCTTTACTTATTAAATAAAAATCTTTTATTATTTATACCCTGCTGAATTCTTGGAATAAAGTATTTTTATAACGAAAGTAATTGAAAGATAAGCGAAACACATTGTTAAAGAACGAAAAAGTTAGTGTGGGAATATTAACGTTGTCCTATTCAGCTACACAAAGGCTTTTTGATGAAGGACATCGAAATTTTGAACCATGGTCAAGTGACGAGGCCGACACCTGAGTTGGCACCACCCTCTCCTAACTTCCGCACTATACCAAAGGGAGGAAAAGTTGGAAATATGTGTTCAAAAAATTAAAAACTAAAATTAGTTCTTAAAAAAACTAGATCTCAATTCCATCACATAAATTTATGTGGGTTTTTTGTGTAATATAAATATTAGACATCTTGATTTAATTTTCTTTCTTTCAATTCCAACTTTTAGGTCACACTTTCTCTATATTTATTTATTTTTATCTTGTTGGAATTTTCAATCGTTTATAAAATACATCTTAAAGCGCTCAATTGAGCTGAAATTTTATATACATAATTATTTTGGATGGCAATACAATAATTTAACTATAATTAATAAAAATTAATTGATTAAAACTAATTATTTAAAGAATTACAAATACACAGCCACGTTGACATCCTTTTTAGCGACTTAGCGACGTGTTAAAACTTGAAAAGGTTTTTTTTTTCTCACGTTTTAAAACATTCAGTTGAACTGAAATTTACACGACTGTTTTGATGACAATACGATACTTTAATGATAATTAATAAAAACTAATTCCCACTTAATGTTGGGATTATTTTATATGTATATACATACTTATATTAATTGTAACTATTTAATAAAAAGTAGCTAAAATAAAAAAAAAAAATGTTGATCTAATTAGGAATTGACTTGATTTTTTTTTTTATATATATTACTTGTTTCTTTTAAATTTTCTTCTCTTACATCATCCGAAGAATATTATTCTGCATCAAAGTATTATTTAAATTTATATTTTTATTTTTAAACTTGTATCGGGACCACATCTGAGAGTCTATTTCAGTATTTTTAATGAAAATACGTAGAAAATTGTTATTTCATCTTATGGCATCGGAGAAGCAAAATATATAAAGTGAGATTCTATTCAAGTCACACGAATACTTTTAGTTTATATTTCACACACTTAAGTACTTAGAATAATATTTTATTCAGCTGAGTGGTTAGAGCTACATTTAATTCTCTTGAGTGTTTGATATTAGATTTAACACACACGCAAGTGTTACTGAAACTATATATAACCTGCACGAGCGTGTGCGGTTGTAAATTATATTTTATTCCCGTGAAATATAGTTTCAGTTATATTTAACCTACATGAAGAGTTTTACAATTGCATCATGTTATTCACACTCACCATCTGAATTTTTCAAAGGCTGCAATGTTTAGAATTTTTTTTTTTTTTTTAAAAATAAGTTTTATAAAAAAAAAGTGTGTTTGCCTGTTTTTGTGTAACACATAAAATAGGCATTGGATACCATTTATTTTTAAAGAGCAATTTCCTATTCGAAATTCCAACATTTCCTCATAGAATAGCTTAAGGTATCCGACTACGTTCGGAACAGTAATTTTAAAAAAGTGCATAAATGGATAATTTTCATGATATTTAGTGTCACTTAGATTAGAATACATGTATAAAATTGTTTTAAGGACATTTTTTCACACAAAAAAATATTTAAATACAATATTTGGCAAAAAATAAACATAGAATGACCCATTTTCAAAATATTCTCCTTTTGTGCAAAATTCTTCTATTATAATATTTTGCTTGTATATAGCTCAGACCTCTCTACAGAGGCTCAACTAGAATTTTTGAAAATTCACATTATTTTCAGAGTTACAACCCATTGAAATAATTATCGGCGTTTTTTTCTTTAAATTTCTCCCTTCTTTTGTCGTAAAACATGGATAAACCCACCTCTAAGTTATATATTTCAAAATTTCCAGTTGAGCCTCTGTACAGAGGTCTAATCTATATACGTGCAAAATATTATTATAATAGAAGCATTTTTCACAAAAGGAGACTATTTTGAAAATGGGTCATTCTATGTTCATTTTTTGTCAAAATATTGTACTTAA